GCTTTTTTTTTTGCTGCTGAAAACCTTTTCGCATGCGTTTTGTTCTCGAGTGACTGGAGGTGAACTGGTGATCGCATTTAAAAGTTTTGAATACCATGCGTGATTTTTTGATCTCTTGTTGCTTATGCAATGGTGCTTGGTGTGGTTTTGCGTTTTTCTTTGTTTCCCCGTACGACCTCTAGCACGCTGATCTATTCTTCTGTTGCTGCGATGAGCAACGTCTTTGTGTGGTGTTAAAGAAGACATTCCGAAAATACATGACCTTGATTATGCGTGGAGTGCGTTCTTTTGTACGTACAAGCTAGAAGAGCGTTATCAGTAATTGCGGTGGTTCAAGGAAAATTAAATAAAGCATTTCTGAAAACATGACGCTGCAAAGTCTCTAGGCCAATCGGGTGAGATCTTTCCATTTTATCTATTTATATTTCATTTTTGTCACTGATTAATCAAATGCTCTATATTGACGAATAGAGTTTCCAAATCATTCACGCTCCCACTAACACAACTCTTTCCTTCCTGTGACACCTATGAAGGTAGTATGGGTTCCCTGCACCTTCTTAAGTAGATGTTGGATTAACTTTCCCTCCCTTCCCCTGCGATTGTAAGGATGTGGCCAGGTGTATAATGCGATGCTTGTATTGTAGATTTTATTTTTGAGTGTGGAAAATCACTAATCCCAAGTGATATTTTCTGCGTCAACACTCGATATTTTCTGCAAAACGTATTAGTTGACCATTATATAGCCACCCACGATTTGTACAATCGCATATGCTATGCTATGCTATGCTATGCTATGCTATGCTATGCTACGGCAACCATCAATCAAGAGATCTACGCCCAGGAGCAGTGGTGGCACGAGTACTGGAGTTTAACGTTTTTTCCTTAACATTTTATACTTTGCACAATGACCATAGAGAATACGCACAAACACAAACTGGCAAGCGGAAAAAATGTCATGACATTTCTAAACTGTTTTCTGCAGGTGACCGACATTAATTTATGTCATGTAGAATTATGCTGATTTCTGCCTTATTATAGCATTTATTTGATGTTTATTGTATGGAAATATAAAATAAGAACGAATACTAACCACTCATAAGCATAGATGTTAAAATTATGCGTAAATAAGGGAGTTAATAATTTACTGTCACACGCAAGCTTGCATCTAAAATGTAATTTCAATAAACTGTTTGAAAAATAATGGGCTACGACATTTTTCCTATTCTCTATCTCCATCGTTTACTTGTAATGTAGAAATACACGCCCGTGTGCTGGCTGTTTTGTTTTGCTCTGGACGATGGTTTTGCAAAAAATGTACTGTTGCCACCTCTGCCCAGGAGTGCCTGGAAGCGACTGCTACCATTCCTAAAGCAACATAATAGACCTGTGCTGTTCTTGCCGGACTTGGTGAGCTGCCACTATGGGAAAAAGGCAATCGAGTGGTACGATGCGAACAACGTGGTTGTGGTACCCAAACACCACAACCCTCCTAACAGCCCAGAACTCTGCCCAATAAAACAGAATTAGGCCTTGGTTAAAATGAATCTTAAAAAAACTAATAAATCCATGGAAAATGAGCAGCAATTTAAATCTAAGTGGCGTTCGGCGGCGAATAAGGTCGATGAGACCACTGTGCAAAATTTAATAGAAGGGGTTAAGCGGAAGGCACGGCAATTTTTGCGCGTTCCAGTCTTTAAAAGCAGAACAATCAAAAATTTGATCGAAAAGGTTTTGTTACAACTCGTGTGACTATAATAAAAGCTTTTCGACGTTCCTTAACCCTTTCAGGACAAAGTTTTCTTTAGGATCCACAATTTGATTTTTTAAGCAAAAATGCTCTACACACTCAATTTAGCTCGGTAAAATCTCAAACAGCCGATTACCTCGGCATTTACTTTTGCTGATATCTCTGCCAATTATTTGTTTGTTAGCTGAGATCTCAGGAAAATAAATTGCAGAACTACTCCGCTGTTGGAATCTCGGCAAAATAAATTAAGTTTTTACTATACGACTACTATGCAGAACAAATATTAGATGGGATTTTAATGGACCCGTTGATGACCTAGATCTCCAAAACCTTATGGAATTATTTCTTCAAATGACGAGCTTTAATGTTGCCTCTGAATGTTGAAAAAACGTACATCAATACAAGAAAAATGAGCATGGGAAACGTGTGGGAAAGTATCTCAAATCTTCCTGGAGTTCAGATCTTGAAGTTCTACAGGCTCAATAAAGCATTGTACGAACGAATTTTAAATTTTTAGCCTAATGAAACTCAATAATATTCTATGGACACATATTTGAACTGACTTTATATTTCAAGTTCTACAAATAAATTTGGAGTTAATAGCTAGAAGTTCTACAGACTGTACAAAGTCTTGTATGATGTACCAAATTAATTTTTTAAATCCTCCAAATTGTGCTGGAGTTAAGATCTTGAGATATTATAGGCTTATCGTAATCTTGATCAATGTTTTGAAACCCTTAGTACCTTGTGGAACCTCATAACATCATGTGGGATATGTGACCAAATTATCCTGAAGCTTTGATATTGAAGCTATACAGGCTCAACAAAGTTTTGTATGGTGTGCTGATTAACTATGTAAGCCGAATGTTGTTTTTAGGACCACGCTTACCTTATTGTCTCTATAAAGGTTACAGGAGAGGATATTTTGTAGGATTTATTAGATCAAGATTTACCTTGATAAGTGGTGTAAAGGTGTGATCATAGCTTTGATAAAATATATTATTTTCCAAAAATTTAAGAAAAGATTTATGATTTTTTAAGGGGATAAGATTTATGATTTTAAGGGACATGGTATAAAACTCACGATGTTCTGTTCTACAAACAAAAGCAGTCGTCACTAGGCTACCTAGTCCCTTACACCACAACATACCATTACGAATGATGGTCGATCAAGCTCGATGATATGAAGCTTTTCAAATTAAATTAGGTGTGTATTCAAAATATGTGCTGTCAAACAACTATGATCGATATGTTGCCGGATATACGAGTTTAATGTTCAGTGCTTCATATGAATTTTCTGATTGAGGTAACCACTTTGTCTAGAAACGAACGGTTTTAAACAGGCTTACAATTGCTCATTACAGCTAAAATTTTATTATTTGGAATTATGAAACTGTGAGATATTATAACAATATTTTTAGTGGAAAGGAGCAGGAAGAGAAGGTTAAGTTTGTGTAGTCCCAGAGTGTCACATTTAGTGATTAGCTATAACTCATCGCGATTGCTCATTACAGCTAAAATCGCCAATTGTCACCCTCTGAAAGCAAAATGGCAGGTTTTATGTATCATCAACAAACTTTACCTCCTCTTCTAGCATCCTACATATACAATATGTTTTTATAATACCTCGTAATTTCATAATTTAGAAAAGTAGAATTTTAGCTGTAATGAGCGTTTTCAACACTGTCTAAACCACCTTACATAGAAACGAATAATTAAAAAGGTAATGGCATCTTTTAAACCAAAGTTGAACTATATTTCGAAGTACTGAAAATTATAATGGGTTGATTGTTTCTGAAAAAAAAGTACTGACTAAAGCTTGTTATAGGTATGATATATAATTCCACCTCATGTATAGTGAATTTTGGGTTCTCGAATTCCTGAAGCATGGTGATTTCATAGCCAATATGGAGATTCTTTCAGGAAACGTTTGCTTATGCGCATAAAAAATCGTTTATTTTCTCACAACATAAGTAATAAATCTAGATCAACATTTGAAATAGGTAGAACAACGAAATGTAAACAATGAATTTAAATGCACATCCATGCAATCTAGCACCAGCATATGATAGAGCAAACTTCCTCCATCGAATGGTATTGTTAGTTTGCGTGGGTGTGTATTGATTCTCGAGAAATTTGCGTTGAAATCCATTGTAGGTTGTTCCGCCTATTTCAATTGTTGGTCTAGAAATGTAAGACTTCGCTCGCTCACGCACATGAAAATTTATGGGAACTCAAGACGAACATGTAATAAACTTTCCTTGCATTTGCTTCTAGCTATTCCGTTGTTCTTTCATTACACGGACGAAAATATGATACGTTCAGAAAGCCTCACAAAACCATTACCACTGATAGCGGGAAACAAGGCACCGGAGAAGGAGTAAAACGGATACGATTCCAGTAGCAGCAGTAGCAGTTCCAGTTGCAGTTTGCTTACTTAGTTAGGCATGACTAACTGATTCACAACAGAGGTTCGGAAATCGAATGTGATTAGAGCTGCTAACGGTGTAGGCCCTACAATCGTAGCCCGGATGCGACGCACAAGATCGGGAGGCAAATGCACGGACATCAAGTGTACAGCAGTAGGTAGTAGTAGTGCAGCAAACGGAAACCAAAAACCAACAACGAGCAGGATAGTTTCTATTGGAGTTTTGTGTGGCTGAGGAGGGAATAAAACAAAGGCAACGGAACCGAAACCGGAAATTAAAAGTTCCAGAAAGGGGAAACGGAACATCGTATTATCTGCTGATTCAGGTTTAGTTGCAGGTGGCTTCCACCCATATGTTGCGTGTTGCACTGATGGGAAAACTCATTAGACTTGGTACGCAAGACGGGAAACAAAATTCCAACACCAACAAAAGACAATGTCGAACTAAACGAAAAACTTGAACGGGTTGCAACGTGGGTGACACTTTGTTTGGTTTTTTTTTCTAGGTTAGGAAGGATGGAGGAGTAATGAAACATAAAATTGGACACTGTAAACCTATATTTGATTAGAGAGACGGTATTTTAAGGTATGACATAGACTTTCAAACAGACTTGCTAGGAGTTACTTTCAGTCAAAGTAGCAACTGTCTCGTTTACACACATTGATGCTTAGTTAGTGATAGTTACGTTAGAGTTGGTTGGTGATTAGTTGGTTAGTTAGTTAGATCATAACAACAGTGTACTGTAGGATGTGAGTTGTTTTTTTTGCTACGGAACTAAAACAAATAGAGAGATAGAGACTGAGAGACGCCCAAGGTGTCTGTACCTAGTTTGAACATTCTTCACTCGGCCGAGCAGATCGACGTGTCCGGCTGCGTACTGCTCCATGACGTCTTTCACGTCGTACGGTTTTAAGGCCTCTTTGAACTTTCGTCGCGCTACAAAGTACTTCATCTGCGGGGAGGCCATTGCAGTGGGAGCGTGTGAATATTTGTGTGTGTTTGTGTGTGTGGAAGGGCAAATGTAGGTTGATTCGTATGGGATCGCAGGGGAACAATTTTGTGTATGCGGCATCCCAAAATTCCACGTGTTTTTTTTCCAATTCGAACGTTGTAAGGTCAATCCGTAGATGGGTTCATGTTTATTTGTTGATTTGATAAAGGGAAGATACTAGTAAGTAAATTGCATCTAGCGATAGTTGCTGTTGAACAAATATTAACTTTACATATAAAGTCAACTCTCCCTTCTTCGATCTCTCCCTAACTCGGTATTGTTCTTAACTCGAAAGAAATCCAGGCTACGTCGACCACTACTCCTGAACCAATTTACAAAATTTACTTCCCTAGCTCGCGGGTCCCTTCTGTATCGAGTTTGGGAGAGTTGACTGTATTATTTATGATGATGAATAGATGAAGAAACCAAGCTGCCAGGAACCGTAGAAAGGATCTCAAAATGTCATATTGGCTATCTCTAAAACTTTTTTTTTTTAATATTATTGATCAGTTATTTATCAAGACTCAAGTGCAGAATCTTTACGGAGCTGATAATCAGTTTTAAATTTAACAATGTTTTTCACTTCTAGAAATAGTAGAAGCAGGGGCTGAATAAATGCGCCTTATTCGAAGCTACGGGCGTCAATTTATTAACAGGATCAAGGAAACGTACACAAGGATGCGATTGATATATTTATCTCTATCGCCATTCCATTTGCTGTTTTCAACGATTAACCGTGGGAAATCTTTCAAACTGTTAGATGGACTAAGCTGATTATATTTCGTGGCAAATTTGACGTTGTTGGCAATGCGAGTTCGTGTGGGGGGATTTGAGGGATGATTTATAACATTTTTGAATTTTATAAAGATACCAAAAATTGCTTGGGATCAACATTTGTTTCACAACTGGAGTTTAAATGGAGTGATTTTTTTTTTTTTTTTTTTTTGTCTTTATTATAGAGACTTTCAGCCTTAGGCTGGTTCGTCTCTTTATTTAACAGAAGAGGCATCGAAGGAGGCCCCCTTGGCAAAGCATAAACATAAGTTTTCATAACAATAATTTTTTAAAGTTCCATAAAATGAAATGTCAGGTTTAGTTGCGCTGTTCATCAAGTCAGTGAAGTTGTTAATCAAGAAACCTTAATCGTAGTCCTGTAGTGGCGCACTTTGTTGTTGTTTATAAGTTCCCGTGGTTGATGTCAGCTAAATTCGTTCGTACAGTTTTGTGTCTTTAAGGAAACAGAGCAAAGCTGTTTCTGTTGAAGGGTCGTTAGCAAGAATATCTCTTATACCATTTTCTAGTCCGTATATTCTTCTCGAATCTTGATACTGAGGGCAAACAGCAATAATGTGTTCGACAGACTGCCGAATCCCACAAAAATCGCATAGGCTTTGATCGTATCGTCCCGACTGGAAGTGACTAATTCGTGTGTGGCCGGTTCGCAGCCTAGATAGGATTCGTTGATCTTTTCTATTATTTTGGTCATTCCATTTGGTAGTCTCACCTTTAACCTTACGAAGAAAAAGGTCTCTCTCTTGTTGCCATGCTACTGCCCAAGCTACCGAAATTATGTTTTTAACCCAGGTTTTGGCATCTTGAAAGGGTACCTGTGTGGTGAGTAGCTGCGAATCTCGACCTAAGGCCGCAAGCTTATCTGCGCTTTCATTGCCCGGGATGCCGCAGTGTCCGGGAATCCAAACGAAAAGAGTGTTAGGTTTCACTGTCGCCCGGATCATTTGTACCCATGGGTGACGTATACGGTCCGTTTCAAGGGCTTTAAGGACACTCGCGGAGTCTGATAATATGGCAGTATAAGTTGCCTTTGCATTAGTCGCTGCTTGATGAATAGCTATGGCCTCAGCCGAGAAGACTGAGCACATGTTTGGTAGCCGCTGGTGTATCACAAGATCTCTTCCTGACACACCAACACCTACTCTGCCATTGGCCTTGGAACCATCGGTGTATATTAAATCATATCCAGCTAACGTCGTCGCTTTCATACGATTGAAAGTACTTATAACTCCGGCCTTACTTTCTCCGACTTTGTAAGAACATTGAAAAGACCAGTTGACCTTCGGTTTGGAAGAGTCCCATCCTTGGCCTCCGATCCGGTCTAATTCAGCTACCGGTGGGAGTTCCTGATGAGCCAGTTTCTGAAGGAGTTTGTTAGCCTTCCTTAGGAGGAACACTCCCTCCTCTTCTCCGTATGTCTTTTCCATGAAGCTCAAAGCTCTCGAGCAGGTGGTTATGGCCATGATGTAATGGAAAGGTAACACTCCAGCTTCGACACACGCTGACGACGCCGGCGTGGATGGTAGCAAACCAGAGACTATTCTTATGCAGCGATTGTAGGTTGGTCCTAGTTTCTGCATCATCTCGTCTGAAGATCGGCAGGTGAGCTCTATACCGTATAACAGTCTGCTGGTTACGATGGCCGTGGAAACTCGGAGCGCAGTATCGCGGTTATTGTGATTCCGACGGTTCGTTATCAAGCGTAATAGGCGTATTCTTGATTGACAATCTTCTCGGACCGTGTTAAAATGTTTTTGGAAGTTGAGGTGGCGGTCTAGATAGACGCCGAGAATGCGACAGCAGGTCTTGTAAGGCACTGTGCTCCCTTCGATTTTGATAGGGTTTGACTCCGCCCGGTGTCGGCTGTTACAGATGTGTGTAAAGTTACTCTTGCTCGGTGACAACTCAAAACCTACCGATTTGACCCATCTGTTAACGGCATTGACAGCTGCTTGAAGCTTTTTCCGAAGTGAAACTGGTCTATGCCCGACAACAACGAGGACGATGTCGTCAGCATAAACAAAGATGTATATATCTTTGGGAAGGTCCCCAAAGACTCCGTTCATAGACACTAGGAACAGTGTGACTGCGAGAACAGAGCCCTGGGGGACTCCAGTCTCTTCCCTTGCTATGTTAGACCTATGATTCCCGATGCCGACTTGGAAGGTTCTGTTCTTGAGGAAATTCTGGACAAAGTGAAGTATGTGGCCGGATAGGCCCCATTCAGATAATTGTTTTAAGACGAAGGGTGTCCATGTCCTGTTATAAGCTTTAGACAAGTCCAAAGCTGCTATGTCTACGTGCTGTTGGGCTTGTAGGGCGTCATCTAGAACTTGACCGAGGGAAGCAAAGTAGGTTCCCGTTCCGTAACCTTTACGGAAGGCATGTTGTCGGCAATCCAACAGATTGTTGTCTTGAAGGAAGTCAGTAAGTCTGCGGTTGACCATACGTTCCAGAACTTTACAAGTGCAATTTGTCAATGAGATAGGCCGGTAGTCCTTTGGATCAGTCGAGGATGATCCATTCTTTGGTATGGGAACTACCAAGCTGTGTCTCCATTGCTTTGGGAAAACATCCTGGGTCCAGTTCTGGTTCAGAAGTGAAAGAAGGATCTGCTTGCCCCTGTGTGGTAGGTGTTTCAGCAATGGGTAACTAATTTCATCAGGGCCAGCAGATTTACCATTACTGTTCGCAAGGGCAAAGCTTAACTCCAACATGGAGAAAGGTTGGTTGATCGGTAGAGAGAAGACGTCTTGTGGAATGGGAACTCTATCTAATGACGTTAAGGAGGCAGCATTGCTTCTGATGAAAAGTTGGCTATAGCCACTGATGGCAGAAAGGCTGGCAAAATATTCTGCGAGTTTATCGGCTACAACCGAGGGGTCTCTCGATAACCCGTTCTCATGTCTGATGGCTATTCCTTTTGTTCTTCTCTTTCCGCTTAGGGAGTTTACCCTACCCCACAGTTGGGTAGTAGACTGGTTACTATTGATCCCGTCGATGAAATCTTCCCAATTCCTGCGTTTGGCATCTCTGATAATTTGTCTGCATTTATTTCTGTTTGACCGATATTCTGCTATCATTCTTCCTTTTTCTGGGTGATCAGGCGGAAGTCTCTTCACTGCTCTCATTGCCTTCCTTCTAGCTTTGATAGCCGCCCTGGTCTCCGGGGACCACCAATGCAGGGCTTTACGGCCGGGGGTGACACTAGTCCTAGGTATGGAACCTTTAGCAGCGTCGAAGATAGTGGTGGTGAGTTGATCGATACTAGACGGGTTATTGACATCTAGACTTGTTTCTATGGCCGTTTCAAATGCGGCCCAATCCGCCTGATCGTAACGCCAGCGAGGGCGTCGAGATGTCTCGGGGGGTTTACTGTTGATACCGATTACAATGGGGCGGTGGTCACTACCCAGAGGGTCCTCAAGGCAGGACCATATTAGGCGCTTCATTATATATCTACTGGCCAATGATACATCGATTGCAGTTTCCGTTTGCCCCCGCATAAAAGTGGGCGTTCCATCGTTTAGAACAACTAAATCGTAGTCTTCAGCTATCCCTGCGCAGATAGTTCCTCTGGAGTCCGGGATGCGGGCGCCCCAAAGTGGATGATGGCTATTAAAATCGCCAAGGATCAGTCGGGGCTCGTCAATTTGATCCAAAAGATTCCGAAGTTTAGCATCCAGGTTCGGTAGATCACGGCACTGTAGGTAAATACTAACAACTGATAATGGGAAAGGTTCCTCGATGCGTGCGGCTGTTGCTAATAGGCTAGAATCCAGGCTAATCGGTGTGAAAGGTACCGACGTGTGTAATCCGAGCGCTACAGATTGGTACATGTTGTTTCCTGACTTCAGTAGCCATGTGTACTGTCCTTGAAGGCAACGATTCATGGTATCCACACTGGTTCTGTGTGTTTCCTGAATGGCTAGGATGCAGGATGGGTTCTTTTTGATGAGTAATTCGAGATCTGCCAGGTTATTGAAAAACCCGTTCATATTCCACTGGATAGCGATTGTTGCTGAGTCGATCGCCGGTTGGAAAGTTCTACCATTGGAAGACAGGGGTCGTGTGTTCATTGCTGGTAAGAGTTTAATCGTGGTATCGTTCCTTGAGTGAGTTGGTTCATTGGACCAATCGAGTCCGAGCGTTTCATGTTGAAGTCGGTC